GGATTACTGAGTGATATCACCGAAGGCCAGGTTGAAGGAAAGAGAGGACTAGGAAGAAGATTGATACAGCTAACCGACGACCTTAATAGTTTCGTCAAATATCAACTTCATACACGTGACTATTGATGGGAATAGGGCGTCAGGTAACTGTCCCATAGATTCAGTGTTTTCTCACTGTCACTTCTGTTTGCCGGCACAACCCCCCCCCCTCCCCCCACCGTTTCATATTGATGCAACATTTACACTTATAATGTCCCAGTTAGTGACCTGAAGCTGACAGGTAGTGCCTGAAATTAAGCCACGACGTCCTTTCATTATCATCCTCTTATTTGACGCCGTGCAGTCTGAGCTGCTGAAACAGCGTCGTTAAATGAAGTATAAATATAGGCGCTCTGAGGAAAATTCGTTTCTTCTCAGTTTGGAACACATCACCGCACCAATAAAAGACTGATCGACCCGAAACTGCTGAACTGTATTGTCACGCGATGCACCACACCAGCTGGTCTGTGATGCTTCTTTTTTCACAAGAACATCATCATCATCATCATCATCAGTAGCCCACACGACGACACGCGTCAGTCTCTCCACCGGAACCTTTGGTCTTGTGTGAGGTGAATATCATTTCAGAAAAAACATGTCGCCTTCGTCTTCAGGGTAGCGGAAAGTTCATCTCCTGTCTGAAAATGATCACGCAGCTGTCCAACCCGTAGCCAGCCCCTTCAGTGTCTGTCTCTGTCATGGATCGGAGGAGACCTTCGTTCATCGTAAATGTCAGGACGACAGCTGATTCGTCCCTTGATCCCTTTCCGCCCGCTCTAAGGACTTCCTGTATCTCATCTTCCTCTAGAAGCGGCTGCTATTTTCGGTGTCCCGGCTTCTTGCCTTCTGTTGTGTAAACTTCCTTACGTTACGTGTCTTTTAATTGATGCCTTGCGTTCTGCTTCGTACTCGGAAGGTCCCGGGTTGAAGTCAAAGACCGGATACCGAGGCTTTTGTCGTCTACCTCATTATCTCCAGCCAGAATGCCTTCCTCCCCCCTCTCAGTGAATTACGTGATGATGCTCTCTCTCTCGGCGCTCTTTAATCTGAGCCGCTGACATCTTCCTTAAATGCAGGACAAATACAGATAAAGTTTCTGAATCGCCGTGTTTATTCGAGAGATTTCCCAGCTCCGTTACAAGTGAAGGGCGATCTCTAAAGTGTTGGTGCAAGGTGGGGATGCTGTATTGTTCACTCCAAAACATCCATTAATGTTTATCAGGAACTTCCAATTGTGATTCGTCCTCATTTCCCACACGCCAACGCTCGCATCGACGCATCAGCACTGGCTAATCCACTTGCACTCGTATTGTGGGGTTGGTAATTTAGGTATTTAAAAAGTGAACACCAAGACGTTAAATTCGTAATTAATGGTTCCATTGGCGTGAATCCTGACTTAGGATCACGTGGACCACATGTATTCTCATAATTCCTGTTAGTGACTTTCCACGTCTGTAAGCAATTGGGTTTTGTGGGCGTTTCCGAAATCTAGCCACGCTTTGGTGACAGGTGTCAGAAGGATTTTAACAAGCACTGCAGTGCGCTTATAGTTTATCATTGACTCACAAGAATTAGAGATAAACATTGTCCACAGTACACCAGAAGGGTAGTGAGTCGAGACTGTACGTATCAGCCCGAGACATGTCGTATTAAACGACACCTTGCCTACAGCATCCGGTATTCAGTGCTGGAGTGGTAGTAATTAAATCTCCATGAAGCACGTGTTTCTCTGCCTCGCGTGGAATGACCAGTTCGTTTATGACGATGTCCTCAGCCCGCTCCTTTGCACGGATCCATTCTGCACCTCCGGACAACGAAAAATGTAACGGGACTTGTTCGTACCCTCTGCGTCAGCGACCCTGAGTGCTCTACCCCTTTCTGAAGCCAGATCAGCGCGCGGAAATTATTTCTGAAATTGTGATAATCTAGGACGAATTAGAGAAGCAGTAATTTACAGACGAAGTCAAGAGATTTCTTCGTTCAAGTCTCCGTAAGTCTGTAGTTTTATTATATGGAACCTGCAGTATCTGTTATTTTAATAAATATAATTTTCAAGAACTATCTTTAAGGTTGTCATTTTAAAGCAAGGTCTGGTGTACGTTAAAGTTGAATTTTAGTGATGTACAAAGTGATCCTGTGTATTTCTTCTTGAAATCTGGTTTCTTCGTACGACGCTCGTTTATAACGACGTTCTTTCTCCGTTCGCTTTGATTACGTAGTAACAGAGTTCGACTGTGCTATGAGCAGAGAGTTTCTTGTGTAGAGACTGCTAATGATAGCATGTAAGTGGCATTCAGCTAGATCAAGTGAGTGACGGTGAACGGCTGAAGTTAGATTTCTGATTCGTGCCTTGAGACCTTCGCTTCTGAATCCTCCGTACCTGGGAGAGCCTTCCGCGGAAAAGTTCTCAGAATCGCTAACATTTCAGAAAGCCCCACCTCAAACGAAATAATGAAAGGACCAGCACGTAAAATCACCCTTTAATTAAAATCGCAAATAATGCTCTAATAGATCTGCCAAATGTCGATCATCGGTTATCTTCTTATATGATTCAGTGCTCATACATTCCACCGTCGCCCGTGAAGATAAAGCCAGTACGTTCCTTTCAAACGTCGGTTTCTACCTACAAGCTTACACGGCGATACAACTCAGAAGTCTGGCTTTGACATCTTCAAATGGCCCACAAGTCGACAATCATTTTTCGCGTGTTTGAAACAGTCGCTTTTGATTGTTCTGCCATTATCAGTGAGAGCTGCTGACGCTAGTAATGATGTCAGCAGAAGGAGCAGTATTGCTTTCTCCTCAAGTCATGTTCGTTTGTTTATCGAGTCTTGGGATCAATGTTGTGTGCGTCTGCAAGTGAAATTCGTCGTAGAAAGTAACTGGAAAGTGTAAAGTTGTGGAACTTCTGAGATAACTGGGGGCATTCACAATTCCGCCTTCATGGATACCAAAACGTTTTACACCAAGAATTAGTTAAGAGTCTTTTACCAATTGTTATTTTGAAACAAACTGGGAAATGCACTCATGCCAACCTTTGCGAACGGGATTCCCGGTACACAGAGTCGCATGTCGGTCGTCTGTGAGGAGCTCGTCACTGGCAGAAACTCCGTTTCGGTTGTTGCACGCGAGCAGGCGGACACACGACTCACTTCTGCAACTCCTAGACGCGAAAGCTGAGGAAGTGCGTCCATCATTTAGAACAGAACGTGTTTTATGGTGTCTTTATTTGCAGAAACACCAGCCGATCTAATAACATTTTGCGTTGAGGTGTTCACCCCGGCCCGTACTGTGCGTTATTTCGGACGAGAGGAAAACCTTTGTCCATTTCTTCCGGCCCTGCCGATGGCCAACAGAAATGAGGCGGAGTTTTGTATTTCACGTCATGAGATGCTAAGAGTAGTCAAGACGCGTAGAAGTCATGGACCAAAATGAGAATTCTTGTGGCCCATTCACTGGAACTCGCGTATGAACCAAGAACTCAGTCCGACTTGCAGAAATCCACCAAGCAGATTTTTTGTAATTTTGGGCCATTTTTGAGTTTTGCTGGGACCGACCACGGGCGTTGCTTCAATATTACCCAGTCACTTGTTTAAGTGTTCAAACGATCCTATTATATTTCTGTCATGTTAACCAAGAACGCGAACATCGTGAATTATGTGTAAACGAAGTAGGAATGGCGTCACTGCCCAAAAATAATTCGTCGGCGAGCAGGTATTTTCGTTTTCTGGTTGCGCTGTGTTCAAATGTCAGCCGTGGCAAAACATGACTTCAACTCCCACCCCCGTCCCTCGACGGCATTGCAGTGTACGAGCTCTGTGACGTCACGGGAGCAATGATAGAAGTTCTTGGATTCAGAAATTGACTGGTACGTGTTCCGTCATTGGTATCTCGCGCACATTTCTCTCCGTGTGCTGGTCCAGTGTTGTTGCCAACAACGGGAATTGTGAGGAGTGAGTATTTCGCTGTGATCCCAGGACAGAGATACGAATAGACTTTTTAATAATATACAGCTTTGCGACAGTGACACTGAAGTTCAAGCTTGCCGGCTCCGACGTTTTTCACTTGTACAAATCTTACCGAGGGCCCAGGCCTCGCATCCGCTGGCCTTTGGAATAGAGTTGGAAGGTCCCGTGACATTTTCCTTTGCTCGCCCATTATTTTAAGAGGAATCTGTTTACAGAAGAAAATATTTTCGTGTAAACACATTAAGAGTTAAAGACGTCAGACGAAGGTCTCTGGAATATTCCGTAAACGGCACAGGTGTGTCTCGGAGGCACTTTCTGTCCTCCCTCGCACTGAAGACATTTGCAGAACTCCTCAGTGCACCCTCCGGCACTGGGCACTGTCCAACCGCGCGGAAAGCTACAAATAGCTCTGGATGCGAATAAGTGGAAAGGCTTCTTCAAATATAAAAATTTTCCTTCGCTACTGCGTTTCTTTGTAACTTGCACGGGGATTTTAGTCTTAGCGACTTCCCCTACACTACAGCCCGAAATTCGATAGATGTGGTAAGGTTAGGTTAGGTTAAACTCCTTGTGCTTGAAATCTTGCGTCGTCGGAAAAGACAAGAAAAACTAGGCACGAATTGCAACTTTTGTGTGCGCGCGCGTACGTGCTTAAAAATAGAGCTCATGTCTAAATTATAGTCGCAAAATAGAAAATGCTCTCTTTATTTGCAAGTCAGAATTTTCTTTGTTCTATATTATCCCGCTAAGTAAACGTTTCAGGTTGAACCTAACCTAACCTAACCTAACCTAACCTAACCTATCCTATCCTATCCTAACCTAACCTAACCCAACCTAACCTAACCTATCCTAACCCAACCTAACCTAACCTGTGTTCTGATCCCGTTCCGGGAAGGTTGATTGGAAGTCCTGTCGAACTGCGTCTCTGTTACGCGTTTGCAGTTTCTCAATTATTTCGGACTGCCGTTACGATAACGGATTTCTTGTTTGCAGGCAGCAAAATCATCCTGAGGAATGTCAGCGGTCTCTTCAGATCTGGGCAACTTACGGCCATCCTGGGACCTTCAGGGTCCGGCAAGACCACGCTTCTGAACATCCTTGCAGGTTATAAGTAAGTGACACAAGAATCAACTTGTTCAGGGCGGCTGACAGAAACGGAGTCTACTTTGTCTTCTCGCGTCTGACACTCGCAATATTTGTTGTCAGTATTTTACGAAGTTCAAACGACATAACCTAACCTAACCTTAGTGATGTGTACTTGGCCTTGCGGATGCTACTGGAAAGATTTCGGTGAGTACAGACCACTAATGAAAATTTTGCCTAAGTTTCTCCAGTCAGAAGAAGTTGGACCATCTTTGATCCGACTAATCTACAACGACTTAAGACACAGGCGCACACAAGTGCATCTTTGACCCTGTCTCTGTGGTCTGGTTGCTAGGAGACCGTATGTGGCGTAAAGCTTAAGATCGAGCCTTAGGGAAGGGCGGGGGGATGTTTTTGACTTTGTCCCAGTGATCTGTAAGAAATTGCATCAGACTGGAAATTGGATTCTTGTTCTCTTACACAACATTTCATTACTGCAATTGATCTTGCTACAAAAATTACAAAGAAACCAGAGGAAATAAGTTGTATGTTGTAAATTTCATTAAAATTGTTTCTTACTGATCAGCACACAGCAGAAATTACCTTAATTCAGGCTACGTCGTGTCATCAGAGAAGGAGAATGTTTCATTCCATACCATTCCTATAGAAAATAAAGTTTCAGGGAAGTGTTCAGCTCAGTTTTATCTTACAACAGTCGCACAGCGATAATTTTATGTGACCGGAAATTTAAAACAATTCCATTTTCATTGAAACCATTGTCTTGAATTTTGTGAAACAAATTTAATGTAATTATCGCAGGGTTTAAATCCCCTATTATCCTTTGATCAAGGCTAATAAAAATTACAGTGGTCTGTGGTGTCATGACGTTCAAGCTAAGTTTCATGAGAATCTGTCAGTTCGTTAAAAGTTAGGGCAGGACAGATATATATAGGAGATGGATATGTTAAAATTATACCATTATTTTTCCTTAGAAGTTAAGGAAGGTGGCCTAAAAGTAGGAAATGTTTTTGAAATGGTAACTAAAAATGAAGGCCCTTAATGTGTGGTATTTACGTCAGACATACAGGAAAACTTTGCTATTGAGTTTGTTAGACGTCTTCAGTAAAGTTTTCTAGGTGCCTGGGAGTGGCACGGCCAGCCGGTGTCTTCGGAAACATGTGCTTGAATGGTGATGGCCCAGAAACCATTGTCACATTGGCTAAGAGCGTGAAGGCGTCTTTGATTCAATAAAGTAAAGAACTTCCAAAACCACCACAAGTTTCAGAAGATGGGATAATGTAGTTATATGAAACATGTTAATACATTTTGACATTTTATTCGGTATAGAAACAGTCTTATTACTAGTGTCTGGGTGCGTATCAGAAAGAATTAATAAGCAGCTGTCGCAATTTTCATTTCTTTGTGTACATTTACAGGAGTGCAGACGCTACAGGAAGTATCTTCATAAATGGATTACCACGTAACACGCTCAATTTTCGCAAGATATCTCGCTACATAATGCAGGATGACTTGGTACAGCCGCACCTCTCAGTACATGAAGCCATGGTCTTTGCAGCAGACCTCAAGCTTGGTGATGAGCTTGCAAAGGAACAGAAACTTACAGTTGTAAGTGTCGTAACAATTATTAAACGCAGTCATATTATGTATAATTTCATATAACAGAACATGGATCTGCCTCGAACTCCTATTCGTGACAGGAATGTGTTACATCATGTGGTGCCATATGTGGACATTATCATAATGTACCCCAGCTTAGATACTGGAATCAGCTAAACGTCTTCTAAATCAGTAAAAACAGTAACCACATCAATGCATGAAACATTTACCAACGCTGTGGTAGCAGACCCTGGAGGTTCAACACCTCTAATACCAAAGCCCACCATTGGACATGATCCTGAGCTACTTCCATGCACCTCTCAAACTCACAATTCAGGTTTCCCTACCAATGTTCTGTATGTATTTTTTGTCTCCTCTGTCCTAGAGTTCATTATCCTTACAGTACCGAATGATATCTGTAAATTGTGGATGTTCTTTGTCGTATTCAATTGCTGTTACTATTTTCCTCAGAATGTTTGATATAAACAGTGATGTTGATCATTGTAATTTTTACAATCATTTCATGGGATGGGACACTTACAGGGTGATTCAAAATTTTAGGGCCAAACTGAAGGAGCGTATAGAGCGACTCGGAGAGAACGACTTTCGAATAGGAATCCATGTCCTCCGAAGTCATCCTGAGTCTGTCGAGGCCATCGAAGGTAGGGAAGTCTGATAATGTACGGCTGAAATAACCGTACTTTGCTATTCTCCTCCTAGCTTAATTTTGTTTTTTTATTAATGTACAAGGATTACATTAGCAATCTTACAAACCAAATTTACAACGGGTGTTCAAAGTGGCGTCCTCCACATTCAATGCGGGCATTGCATCGGCGAACGAAACTCTGGCGCACCCTTTCAAATACCCCAGGAGTCTCACGGACCACGTCAGATGCAGCAAGTATTCTGGCCAAAAGTTGTTCTGGGTCGTCCACCGGTGTCTCGTAAACGAGGCTCTTGACACGCCCCCAAAGTTAGTAATCGAGAGGTGTCAAGTCCTGGGAGCGGGGTGGCCATTCAGCTGGCCCTCCTCTCCCTATCCAACGCCCAAGATACGTTTGATTCAAAATTAAGCTAGTAGGAGAATAGCAAAGTACAGTTATTTCAGCGGTACGTTATCTGACTTCCCTACCTTCAATGGCCTCTACTGACTCAGGAAAACTTCGGAGGACACGGATTCCTATTCGAAAGTCGTTGTCTTTGAGTACAAAGTTTAAAAGGAGGTTTAACAGATATTTCGTGTGCTGCCTGAGTCTTCCTGTTTAACAGGTAGTGATATAAAGTAAATTGCGATACTGAAAGTAACTTTATATCTGCTCACCCTTGCTGCACGTAACACTTGGATCCTGTTTAAGACCCAGCAAAGATTACAAATTTATGAATATGTCTGCTTCAGCTACTCTTACTGAAGTGAATTTTTAATCCATTCTACATCATGAGTTTTGAATCTTACAGACCAACTTTTTGTGACAGTCCACTTGACAGAAGTGTGTGTGCGCGTGCGCAAAGAGTGCTGTTGATTTTTCCACGACCATAAGTGACTGTTCCGACAGATAATCTCTCAAATTACTGTAGGCTGTAATTATGTGATTTGACTTTCGGATCCACGAAAGGCATCGTCGTGGTCGGTATGTGGAGAATCGATGATGTATGAAACTGTAATTCTTGTTGAAATCACAGGTGGATGAAATACTAGAAATGCTGTTGCTTGTGCAAGCAAAGAATACAAAAACATGGCAACTGTCAGGTGGTGAGAGAAAACGTCTGTCGGTTGCTTTGGAACTAATAAATAACCCACCAGTCATGTTCTTGGATGAACCAACCACGTAAGTTTTTGTAATTATTTTTCTATGTTAGTGCTAAATAACCTATGCAATGTTTATTGTGCGACTTTAATACTGTCTTGGCCAATTTCAGATGTTGACTTGCCGTTGTATTACTCTGATCTTCTCCCATGTGAACACTGGTTCAACTTTTTGCCAGAGTGTCTGCTGTGTGCGTATATTCCGCTTTGGACATCCACTCGCAGGTTCCCAGATTACCGCTAAATTTTGAATTGTGTTAATAATATTAGAATCAAAAAGTCGGTGGAAGACGGTTATTGAGAAGGGATTTCCAATTTGGTTTACTGCCTTGGGAAATGAACTATTCACTTCTGTGTAAAATAAAACAGAATAAACCCTGAAAGTATTTTAGAGATTTTTATGTTAAGTCGAGCTAGATGTAGGAAATGGAGCGTATTACGTAAAAGCGGTTGGAATAAGACGAGTCTTGTCACCGATTGTTCTTTGTTCACAGTGGACTGGATGTTCTGTCAAGCTCCCAGTCCATCTATTTACTGAAGATGTTGGCTCAGGGTGGCCGAACGGTTGTCTGCTCGGTACACACTCCCAGTGCCAAGTTGTTTGCAATGTTTGACCATGTGTATGTAGTGGCTGCAGGACAGTGTGTGTTCCAAGGTTCCGGAACAGATATTGTGCCATTCCTGTCTGGTGTGGGAATTGAGTGCCCAACACATTACAACCCTGCTGACTTCGGTAAAGCTGTTTGATAGAAGCTTTTATAAATACGTTTCAATTAAATATGTCTGTTGGGGATACTATAACATATGCGTATGCTTTGTTAGTTGTCGAAGTGTCCAGCGGAGAATACGGAGACTTTTTGGAGAAGATGGCGGCTGCAGTGGACAATGGACGCTGTTACTGTTGGTCCCATCGTGCATCGTATATCAATTTGTGCAACAGAAATGAAGAACCCAAGACAAGAGCAGCAAGTTAGTTTAATACAAGTAACCTCAAATATTCAGTATTTTGGCTGTCTTCTGAGTGAAGACATTGTCTTCAAACTTTCTTGAAAACCATTTCCCTGCAAAATCAGAAACAAATTCTAGCACGAATCTATCTTTTCTGCATTTATTTTTGTGTGTAGGAGTCTCCAACTGTCTCTTGTCTGTCCATTCTTGCATTTCATCTACCCAACTCCAGTCTTTTCCTCTTCTCTCTAAATCCTCCTTAACTTGGTCTATACATCATGTATTTGGTCTGTCCCTGGGTCTTTTTCCACTCATCTTCATTCTTTGCTATTCTGTTCTTATACATTATTTTAACTTATTCAAACCATTTCAATTTATTTATTTAAATTTGGTTGTGTATTTCATCCATCTCGAGGTCTTCCCTGGTGTTTCTAATTCTACCTCCTGGTTTCTTGCCACTGTTGCCCTCAGGAATTTGATCTAAGCTGCTTGTAGTATCTTCTTAAAATACACATTGGGTAGCGAATTTTTGCAATTTTTCTATATCTTTATTCTACATTAATCTCTTGGCTAAATGATAAAATTCAGAAGTCTTTCCAGATCTTTAGTTCATCTCGCTTTAGGTCTTGCCATTTATTTTCACCACACTCCCCAAGTACACAAAATGATCTACTTCTTTTTTCCACTTCGTGGGAGGGGGGTAATGTTCAAGTAGGGAACTACTTGACAGCGTGGACTTGCCCTGGGCCTGACACTTCCTGTGTAGCTGAGAAGGCCTGACAGGAACTCTGAAAGGATGGCCAGAGTGGCTACGTTGAATCTACGTTAGGCCTAGCAAGCCAGCAGTGGATGATTACGTACTTTCAAGGAAAAGACGAGTAAGCTGTCTAGGATAGACTCTCAGTTTCGTTGATTTTTTACATGTACAGAATGGCCAAAAGTAATGGAATATGAAACACTTCAACATTTTAAGTACCAGGCATTTAAATCCCTTTATCCCCTACCGGCCTAATTTAAATTTTACCTTTAAACTGTGCCGTGCTTGTCTTTAAATGAAATAATGTATCTGTCTTAATAACCTACTTACAACAATGAAAAAATTACTCATTATTCAGAAGAGTTTACTTTACCATCTGGAACCATTCCTCAAGCTCATGTTGTGCAAGAGTGTTTGTAATAGATAGTTTTTTGCACAGTTGGATTATACAGGCCAGCAAGCCCATTTCCCAGAGCCCACAGATTGAGATTAGCTCCATCTAACAGGCCCAACTGTGTAGATTCACCTGAGGATGGGAGAAGTCATCTCCTGAAATGCAGTGGCAATTGAAAAAGTCCAAAAATTTCAAATCATAATGTTGTGATGTCTACTCACGGTATCTGATGCCAAACATTGTTGCAGTGAGCGATTTTCCTGTTGTAGGAAACAGGTCAGGAGATGCACATCCACGCACAACATCCATCATCTAGGTGTCGTCACACTGCTTTGCTGTGTAAGCCCTCCATGTTGCATATACGTATACCTAAAGAGTAGCAAAGATTGTAGATTCTTATGTCACATATCTTGCGCTTCTTCGACTTATCGAGAATTTGGGTGCAGGTATTCCTTAGCTTCCGCAGCAGTCCTAATTCTGCTTTTTTTTCTGTCTGTGGGGGGGGGGGGGGGGGGGGGAGGAGGTTGGAAGATAGTTTTGTTATCAGCATAATGCTAAATAAAAAAATTAGGTTTTGAATAATGAATTCAGTCAAGAAAGATGTCTAGTCCCACTAGCTCTTATTTGAAATCCTCTTCCTGTACCTCATTTAGAGATTGACATATGTGAATTGTGCTAAGGCATTCCTTCACAAAAGTTTGTAACCATTTGTTGCACATGGTCAGGTTGGGTCTTCTGTGAGGCCAGGTAAGAGGTCGATGCCATCCAGTCCACAGTGGAAATTGGTTCTTCAGGAAAGCACACACATTTGCAGCACAATTTACACTGTTTAGAAGGCCTATATTATCAAGTTCTGGAATTAGCCAATGGGACTACAGCTACCAGTAACTGTAACCAGTTACAGGCACCAAAGTAAATACGTTCCAACAATTACTTCACTAGTGACGTGACGTGGATGCTGTGCTACTTCCTCAAAGAAGAGTGGACTTTGTTTAACCCACATATAAACATATCAAGACCTTTCATCAAGATATACCACACATTGATCAGTGAACTTAACACTGAAATGTATACAGTAAAGTTGTATGTGTCTACCAGCTCATGTTCATGTTCGATTACTTAATTCATTGATAAATGTGGGCTGATTTACGTGGCAACCTTCCATCCTCTTTAAATATCACTTAGTGGTTCCTGTAATCTGAAAGTAGATGGTTTCTACATGAATTTGATGGGCAACTGAAGAACTGACTTCTCCAAATGAGCACTAACATCCACATATTTTCGTGGTCTTTCACTTCTTTTCACATGTATCAGACAACTGGTTAGGAATATTTATTTTCTCCAATTTTCTTAAATAAACCTCAGTTGGAACTCCTTCATTAAAATGCAAGGCAAAATTTGCTTTGTTTCAGCATACCTGTGGCCACTTTGTCACTTCTCATGGACCAACATGCTCAAACAAGACACCCCTTAGTGATGAATGGGCTTGTACCATTTTATGGCCATCTGTGTAGTCTGAAGATGTCTGGGAACAAAGTTCTGATGAGAATATTTAGTTCTAGAAAAGAGAAATTAACAGAAGAATAAAAGATACATAATGAGCTCATATTATGTATTTTCAAAGGATAGGATGATTAATAAATAATGAATTTGAGGCCTAATTCAAGGGACAATTCTTGCATTTTCTTGGAAGAACTGAGGAAAACCACAAAACCTAAGTGAACATAGTTGAAATTAGGACCTCCAGCATGCAAAGCAGGAGCACTGAGAAGTTTTCTGTGGTACTAATTGTGAAGAGTACTATTGCAGACTTGCAGTGTAAGGATGGACCCGCTCCCATGTGGAACGGTTTTGCTGATTCCACATGTTCCCTTCAACCTGGATTTATTCTGCACTGGAAGGTGTGTTGGGGGGGGGGGGTCACAGCAACTTTTTCGGTTCCAGAGGGCAATATTTGTTTACACAGTAAAGTATACAATAATTTATTTACCGTCTTTACACAAACTTAAAAATGTTAAAATTACTTAAAATTATAACATTTTTTCATTGATGGACCTGATGATGATGAGATAACATCGAAACATGTCGTCAATGTAAAATGTAACAAGATCTGTATCTAATGAAAAAATGTTATAATTTTAAGTAATTTTAACATTTTTAAGTTTGTGTAAAGACGGTAAATAAATTATTGTATACTTTACTGTGTAAACAAATATTGCCCTCTGGAACCGAAAAAGTTGCTGTGACATTCGTTGTAAATAGTACCTCGTATCATACTTGAAATTGTAAACCTTGGGATTTCATAAAAGCGCAGAATTTCATTACCTGCTGGAAACTATTACGTTTCAAGAAAGACTATGCTCTAGGGAATTGCACTGCATGATACTCTTCTTATATTTTCCAGCAAGTGATAAAGGCCACACCAAAATGTTGACAAGTCATCTCACAGAAACTGATCACAAATTAGATTTCAACAGTTCCTGTTGGCGACAGATCAGAATCCTAACATGTCGGATGCTCCTTCAGACATGCAGAAATAAGGTGAGTCATTTCTTTACTGAGCGGGTAGTAGTGGAAAAGCCTTGGTTTATTCCAGGCAATTTGCCCCTCTTTTTCATTATGTAGAATTGTTAGGAAGAGATGGGAAGACTGTTTTCTTCAGAGGAGCAGTGTAATTCAGTTTCGAAGACTTTTGTAAATGGCTTTGTCCATTAGCAAGAGTGAGTATATTGACTAGAAATTTTCTGTGAAAGCAGATACTGGTAAAGTATTCACTTAAAACTTGCATGAATACCTTTGGGTCATTAAGGTCTTAAAACCTTGCATACTGTGCAGTGTTGAATATTTATCTAAAATAAATAAAATCATGCATACAAACAAAACTGTTTACACTTTGAAAAAACACTTAGTGCCAAATGCAGTTTGACGTAATGAGGTTATCATCAGTGGCAATAACATTATTTCATTAGTCTCTATTAAACCATACAATTCATAAGACAATGGTTTGTTATAAAGCACTGAGCATAAAAGGGTCGCACTTTATATAATACCACACTGAACGTTTAATTGCACATGAGTTGGTGTATTATCTAAATCGAGTTACTCAGCTCAATGTCCGCTGGCCTAAGTTGAGGTTTCCTGTGTTGGTCTATGGTGAGCCGTGGTTGCATTGTCTGTGCCTGGGTTGTGAACTTCAACATTACATGGGTGGTTTTATAAAGTGTGACCTTCTTTTGCTCAGTGCTTTATAACAAACCACCATTTTATGAATTGTATGATTTAATAGACAGACTAATGAATTAATTTTTTGTCACTCATGAAGTCGAAACGCTTTTCGCAAAAGTGTTTTTTCTAAGTTCAAACAGTTTCGTTTGTATGCATGATTTTATATAATTTAGATAAATCATTAAGGTCTGTTATTCTGCAGCGTGGTATTTTAATGACTTCAGTTTTCCCCACTGTTAGTGATGTGATACTTCCAAATTTTAGTTTTCGCTGACTTTGGGAGTAGTGTTTATATATGTACTAATGCATAGTCACTTGAGTCACACACTTTTATTAACTGTTTTCTGAGCTGGATACATTACTTACATTAATGAATTGGTCTTGAAACTCAGGAAGCAGCAGATGAAAAGTGTTCTTTGATTATTGTGCAGATTTTGTAAGATTTTGAAATCAATGCTTGGGGCCAACATGTTTTTTGAAGGTCTGCAGCAAAATGGAAAACATTCATTTGATTGTCAATGTCTGGGAGATGGAAAATATATTTGTATGTAGTGTTGTTTGTTTCAGTGACGAGATTACAGGAACTAGGCCACAAACCCAAAACCTGTCCTGGTTTTGAGTCTGTGTGAAGATGTTGGGCTTAGGGATAATGTTTTTATATGATATTTAATGATACATGTCAAATGATAAAGCATAAGGTAAGCTTTTGAGCAATGAAGATTAATAATAATTGCAAGAATTTGTTGAATTTTTTCCCTCAGTAACACTCCAGGCACTTTGCTAAACTGTAATTGTAGGTTTTTATGAATGTATGTTCACTTCTAGCTTTATAACAAATACACAGATTTACACCAAACTTTTCATGCTTATTCTTTGAGACCAGGAAGAGAACATAAATTCAGAACCTCAGAAAATTGTCCTGAGTGTGAGTCCAGATGATGGCAGTTCCTGTAGCTCAGAAACTAAGCATGATAGAAGAACAGCGCCAATACTAAAATTGTTTACTTCGAAGGAGAGATTACAGAAACAAAGGTCGCAACCCTGAAAAATATTCTGGGTTTGAGTCTTGATGAAGATAGTTTTAGTAGTTAATAACAGACAGACAGAATGGTGCAGAGAACTGAATCGTTTGCTTTCATGCAAAGATTACAGGAACAAGGGTCACAGACACAAAAATTTCCCTAGGTTCAAATCTCGGTGAAAGTGTTGGGTTTAGGAATAATAATTTTTATATGGTATGTGTTGACTGATCAGGCCTATAGTAAACTTTTGAGCATTTAAGATTTATAATAAATGTAAGCATTCGTCAAATTTCCCAGCAGTTAACGCTGCAGGCACTTTTCTAATAACATAATAAAGGGAATGTTGTTCTGATGGTAATATATATATATTGCTCTTACACTCCTTCAAATTTATACAAAATGTCTACTCTGTGCAATTTTGTAACTAATGTTACAGCCTCTGACCATCTCAGGTACCATTGATAGTTGTGTGCAGTTTTCTGCTTTCTTTCTCATCTTAAAATTTTGACTTTTAAGGATAGAGTTTCTTACACTATTCTTGTGAGCAAAAATGTCTTTTTAACAGTACTCTGAAATACATTTGCGTATGATAACGGAACTCTGGGTAATATCTGTATTGCAGTCACATGCATCTTCTTTGTATGTACAAGATGAGTTTACAGGCTTTGCAACATGAACACACTGGCTGAAGATGGAAATTTCTTTGTCCATATAGTAATGTGTAGATACATTTACAGTTCTCAAAATATTAAATTACACTGCAGGCACATACCATATGAAAATGCTTGAACACATACATTATTTTTCTAATTTGATTACCTGTTAAATTTATACTTATTACTCATTATAACATCTAAGTACAAATCTGTGCTTTCTTTCTAGAGTTACGTGCACCTTCAGATACTGATGTACTTATTCCTAATATTTATTATTGGAGGCTTGTATTATAATATGGGGTTTGATGGTGCAAAACAACTGTACAACTTTGGTTTCTGCTACACTTGCATCATCGTGTTCATGTATCTGCCGTTGCTACCAGTTCTCCTTCATTGTAAGTACTATAATGAAAGCTAAATTTTGTTTATGGTATAAATGGTATTCATTTGCTGTCCCTTCTACCTCCTACAGTTTGAATGAGTTGGTAGTTGTCTGAAGGAATACAGTGGCTGTTATGAAATGCAGTAGGACTGAATCTGAATCATCTAGTTTCAGCATATGGAACTCTTCTGCCTGCAATTACATTAAATGTTTAGAATATGCAAAATTTTGTGGATCAAAGTGTATTTTGTGTTACCAAAATATTTAAGAAACTTGAACCTTTATCATACTACAGGGCTGCTGGCTGAACTAAAACTTCAGTATTAATGCTTAGCAGAGGCCAGCTGGACTCTGTAACCTGACATATGGCCAGTAAAGCTTAACAGCGTCCATATTAATTTTTTTACAGTTCCGTATGAAGTGAAACTTCTGAAGCGAGAGTACTTTAATCGCTGGTACAGCCTCCCAGCATATTTCTGTGCTTTAACCATCGCCAGGTTGCCTCTACAGGTAAGACTGTTCCACTGTTATGAAGTCAAATTATCTTATTAGAAGTACTAATTTATGAATCTTTTGAAAGTAATGTCAGATTATTACATTTTTATTGTTATAAAATGGTGGAAAGACAAAACTTATTAGCTGGGAGTATGAAAGGAAAAGTAAGTCACACTTTACCATTTTTAACAGCAACTATGTTCACATGTTTTGTGCAAATTTAAAATACCTGTGACTTTGTATTACTGAAGAGAAAGTTAAAAATACAAAACTGTAATATTTACTTCTGAATCATGTCCATATCTGATTATTGGAATGTGAAAAGAAAGGAAAGGAAAATGAGTAACCTCTGGCCTTTGGAATCTCTTTAGTAAAGGACTGGAAGCTCATGAAACAATAGAATACCAATGTTGTATAAAGAGAATTATAATAGAAATGAAAACCATTTCCATTTCAACTTTGTTGTTAAATCCACCTTTTTCTTCATTACAGATCATCATTGGCACAGTTTATGTCTTCTCTGTGTATTGGCTCTCAGATCAACCATTGGAGCTGTTGCGGATTTGCCAATTCCTTCTTATTTGTCTCCTAATTGGCTTTGTGTCAGAGAGCTTTGGTTTAACCATATCATCTAGGCTTGATATTGTTGTAAGTATGCTTCAGATAAAGAATTTGAAGTCAAATTTAATAAATTATTAAGTCCAAAAAGTTAAAGGATGTTCAAGGTTATCATAATGATGACTACCAAATTTATCTGACCTGAAATGTAAGATGACCCTTTTGCTATGGCAAATTTTGAGAAGAAACGAGTTTAGAATGGTGTAAACTTACGAGAATGCTGAAGGTGTTACTTATGCCACAATCTTTGCACATATGCTGAAAACATTGGTGGGATCACGAGCAACGACATCAAGTATGATAATGACATCATGTCCAATGCTGTCATCATACACTTACTGATGATTGTGGGTCATGCCAGCATCCTTCTACCCCTTTTATTTGACTTTAAACTTCGAGATTTCAAAGCCTGAAAAGGACATTTTTCATGTACCATGTTAAGTTCAAGATGCCGAATGTGATACCATTGACATGTTATATCATGGTATTATTAAAAGGTTTATATATTTGGAAAATAAGATATTTTTGTGTCTGACATGATATCATGGTCTTCTTTGATTATCACTCATTCATTTATGTTAGAGTTATCCATTAAAATGGGTATATTTGCTTAAGAAAGTTCTTCTGAATTTTGTAAATCTGTCTGAATATTTATAGTTCTGTTCAAGCTGCCATTCCTACTTTGTTCTACCACAAAACATCGAAATCAGAAAGGAACATCTAAAAATGCTTTAGAAAAGTGTTAACTTATGTCATCTTCCATTCATAAAATTTGCACCCTTTCAGCCACCTTATTCCAGCAATTCAAATTCAAATTCCACAAACTCTTACATAAAATTGAAATTTTGGAATGTGGATTTGTGCAGCTCAAGAATGGAAAAGCCAAACTGAATTTTGTCTGTGTTCTCTGTCTTTCACTAAACACACTTGGCACCTAACTTGTCTTCCTTCTGACGGCCAGTGTTCATAATGTCTTATGTCAAGTCTACCTACATGGCATGTAGCTGGTCGGCTTTTTTTAACCTCGCAAACAGGGCTATTAACTCACTCATTCTGCCAACTCGATGGTGCAAGAAATTCTTTGAAAACTCCATTGTATACTCGCCTTGTCATAGAACAGTCCACTTTCTTTGTAGAACCCAAAGAAGGTTCATCACCATGTTCACAAAAGCCATCCACCTAACTCTATCCTGAGCTAGCTGCATTCAGTTTGCTCCATCGATTCCTATCTCCTTAAGGTCCACCTTAACATTATTCCACCACACCAAATTCAAGCAAAATATTGTGGAGCTTCTCTTGTAATTGAGTCACAGGCTTTCTTGAAGCCTATAAATATTTGGTGCACTGTCCCATTGTATTCCCTCTTTTCTCTAGTATCTGGTGAATGTAGAGAATCTGATCGCTTGTAGATCTATTACGATGAACCCACGCCAATGCCCCCCAATAATTTCACTGGCATATGCAGTCAGCCACGCCAGAAGAATGTTGGATAACATTTTGTAGGCAGATGATAAGAGAGAGATTCCTCGATAATTATTACAGTCGGTCATATCGCCATTCTTACGAATCGGTACAATAATAGATTCTTTCCTCTGCTGTGACATTTCCTCCTTATTCCATATAGAGCAAATAAATTTGTGTATCTCGGAACACAACGCTTCACCTCCTCTCTTGATCAATTCAAATGGAATCTGATCAGTAACCAGGGATTTTTACTTTTCCAATTCTGCTAGCTCTAATAAGAAATTGTTGAATCAGATTTGAATTGAGGAATGTCACGTTCAAACTTAAAATGTCATTGAAAATTATTTGGGTAAGATCACATTCCGTTTGTAATGCCTTTAGCTGACACAGAGTTGTTTATTCAGTTAAGTTCCTTTTCCTTATTAAACTTGCTGCTTATGAGTATCTTTTGTTCTGCTAATTAGCGTTGTTCTTTTCCTCAACAGAACAGCATTTTTATTGGTCCAACATTGTCGGTTCCACTGATGCTGTTTGCAGTTTACGGGATGGGTGCTGGTAGTACTAGCATTCCTGCTCCATCGATTCCTATCTCCTTAAGGTCCACCTTAACATTATTCCACCACACCAAATTCAAGCAAAATATTGTGGAGCTTCTCTTGTAATTGAGTCACAGGCTTTCTTGAAGCCTATAAATATTTGGTGCACTGTCCCATTGTATTCCCTCTTTTCTCTAGTATCTGGTGAATGTAGAGAATCTGATCGCTTGTAGATCTATTACGATGAACCCACGCCAATGCCCCCCAATAATTTCACTGGCATATGCAGTCAGCCACGCCAGAAGAATGTTGGATAACATTTTGTAGGCAGATGATAAGAGAGAGATTCCTCGATAATTATTACAGTCGGTCATATCGCCATTCTTACGAATCGGTACAATAATAGATTCTTTCCTCTGCTGTGACATTTCCTCCTTATTCCATATAGAGCAAATAAATTTGTGTATCTCGGAACACAACGCTTCACCTCCTCTCTTGATCAATTCAAATGGAATCTGATCAGTAACCAGGGATTTTTACTTTTCCAATTCTGCTAGCTCTAATAAGAAATTGTTGAATCAGATTTGAATTGAGGAATGTCACGTTCAAACTTAAAATGTCATTGAAAATTATTTGGGTAAGATCACATTCCGTTTGTAATGCCTTTAGCTGACACAGAGTTGTTTATTCAGTTAAGTTCCTTTTCCTTATTAAACTTGCTGCTTATGAGTATCTTTTGTTCTGCTAATTAGCGTTGTTCTTTTCCTCAACAGAACAGCATTTTTATTGGTCCAACATTGTCGGTTCCACTGATGCTGTTTGCAGTTTACGGGATGGGTGCTGGTAGTACTAGCATTCCGATTTACATGCGATTACTTATGTGCCTGAGTTACTTGCGCTTTGGATTCGAAGGCCTCATGTATGCTATATATGGTAATGACCGCCCTATGATGCCATGTCCATCTGAAGAGGCATACTGCCACTTTCGGAGCCCTAAGACCCTTCTTCTAGAGACAGGCATGGAGAATTCAAACATATGGCTAGCTGTTCTTGGACTTACTGCATACATGATTTTGTTCAAAGCTATGAGCTACTTCTTATTACGCTGGAGACTATCACGACATCGCAACTTTGCTGCTCTCAATTATGTTGGGCGAATAATCAAGACACATTTCAGTTTTACACATCAATACAAGTGATGGTTCTGTATTTCATCTGACAATAATTGTAGTTAGTGTGCTTCAAGCAATCATATTTTAGTACATGGAAGTTATTGCACTTTCCTATATCTCTGTGATATTTTACTGTTACTGTTGAAATGAGATCAATACTTGATTTTTTGTTCATAAGCTCTCTAATTTGTGTTTTTACTAATATAGTGTGTTACTGATTTTAACTATTTACTTTGATGGTAAAATAATCAATTCTCAACAGTGAGACTTCTTAATTTGCATTATTTTGTAAAATATAAAAATTTACATTTATAGAAGAAGTCATAAGATTGTACTGGAACATCACACTGACAGAAACACATTATTACAGTCACCTTTGATTAAAAATTCTGAATATGGATCACTGTCCCTCATGTCTCCCTCCAGCTCCTTTGCAAAACTGGATTTATACCACCTCAAACTTTATGTAACCTCTTTAAGTTCTGTTGGAATACTGTTTGTAACATGCACAATTATTCCTCCAGTGTTCCTCCTGAAATCTTGCAGACTTATTTCTCCCCTTAATGTAACTACCAGGTCTACAATTTATGAGGCTGTGATCGTGCTTGCATTGTGTGGTCGGCCGGCGCTCTGTTGATGTGGGCGGGTGTTGTGCGTGTTCTTCCGGTGGTTGACTGGCGAATCAGTTTCAGTGCCACTAGTAACAGCGAACTACGAATATTTCTCGTCACTAATACATGTTATTACATTAATTGTTCTTGGATTGAAACATCATCCTCAGTGAATGACTGTTCTGTTATGAAGCTGTCACTGCAAAGGATGATGATAATCTTTTATCAACAACTCCCATGAGCATTGAGGGTTATTGAAAAGTACAATTGGATTGCTAATGAAGTGAGTTCAAATAATCTACTGTTTAAATTCATATCAGTCACGTCTTGATCAGGAAGAGAAGACAAATGCTGGCCGATCGGAAAATGTGCAGGAGTGAAACAAATAAAGTCAGCAGGATAATCATAATGTTTAGTCAGTGGTCTGGAATTCAAGCAAGATTCTATTTGATTTAGCAAAGTAGATATTTCTTCAAGGCTCAGTCGCTTATTGCTCTTTTAAAATAAAATTTCACATATTTTACGTCAGCTTCCAGAAGCCATTATGTGGATTACGTTCTGAGTGATTAACAAACATAGTGTGCGTTCGTGCTTGTTATCATCCGTGGTTCAAACGGTGTAATCATTGTGTAGACGAGATGTCTGATATTTATTTAGTATGTTGGTATCACAGATTATACGAACATAGGTATCACATATGTTGGTATTATGTGTGATGATGTAGGCTGTAAATCGAGAGGTTTGTGGAGTGATGAGAATTAGTTGAATGCTAGAAATGTTTTCTTTTAAGTGGTGTGGTTACATGGTTTCTGTTTGCATTGTATTTTTGAGCGGAAATATTGTATACGGCTTGCGTAAATATGATCGGAAGGACTTGCATAATCTAAGGTACGTATACCACGTTTATTAATGTACAAGTTAACCAGAAAATGCTTGGAGGAATTTTCCTTCATTTAGAAAAAGCTTTTGACAGTGTTAATCATGAGATTTTTTAAACTACATTACAGTTTTATGGTATTCAAGGAATAGCTGGAAAATGGTTCGGAACGTAACAGATAGAAAACAAAACAACGAAGTAAAATCACCATTTTTTTTAACTTTGGAACAATAAGACTTGAAGTTCCCCAAGGGTGAATTCTGGGTATCTTGCTTTTCATGATATATGTAAATAACCTTTCTCCAACAATAAATATCTTAACAGAACACATAATATTTTCTGATGACACAAATATATTTGTTTTATTTAGTACTTGCCTGTAATTCGCTCTTTGTGGTGTTTTGAAGCAGTTTAATCATATGAATTGAACTCTCCTTGAAAATATAAACAAAAGAAAATTTTTAGAGGAGATGGATAATTGAAACTTCCAGCATTATTAGTGATCATATTAGTCATATCTTTACAAGGAAGGAGGGATACTTACAGTTCATATTCATACATTGTATGCATATAATCAGTACTTTTTTTGTAAAAGTACATGCTGATATAGTGGTGAGGCTGTTGGTAATTCATGTGTATGAGGAGGTTATAGGGAGCCTGTGTCCAGTCTTGTCTGCATCATGGAGCATTATTCTGTTGTCAGTGTCATAAGAAGAACAGTGTGGTACAGTTGTGAGATATCTGACGTCATTATCTCCGATGTGTTAATTTATAGAGTGCCATTCCAACAAAATCATAGTTAAAGTGTTTCATTACTGAGGTCTTAAATTTGTTTTTTGCAAGTAACTGCAGTTAACTTCTGAATTTCTTGTTTCCAGAGAAGAGGTCCGTCAGATGTTTCAGCATGCATATGACAGTTACTTAAAGTATGCATATCCATACGATGAGTTGCGGCCTTTGAGCTGTGATGGAGTGGACACATGGGGAAGGTAAGTTCCTGTATGCCCCCCACCATTCTATTGGGAAAGAACCCCAAGTTACCTTCTAAATAGGAGGTAGGATGGGTCATAGTATCATTCTGGATGTAATGCCCCAGCCAGAAATCATGCATGACATGTACGTTGAGTTCATAGGCATTTAGTTTATTGACTGAGGTATCATGTCATGCTACAAGGCAGTTGGTAGTTGTTCAGATGTTAAAAAATCTGTTCTTATGCAGTCTGTAAGTTATTGACCATAATTACGTATTTCTGTCATTTGACTCCATTCTGACCTAGCTTTTTCCGCATTATATAACCTGTTTTTCTGATGTCCATTTGCCTATTATTCTTGTACCGGGTCATCAATTTATGCGGCAGCGGTCGTGACTTGCATTGCGTAGTCGGCCGACGCACTGTTGATGTCGGCGGAAGTCGTGCCCGTTCTTCTGGTGGGTGACCGGTAAATCAGTTTCAGTTCCGCTAGTAACAGCGAACTACAAATATTTCTCGTCACTGATACATTTTATTACATTAATTGTTTTTACCTTAAACCACAAAAGATGTTCAAAGTGACTTCCTTGTGCTTGCAGGCAACTTCACATCTCGTTAACATGTTTCAAAATACTCGACGAAGCTCTTCTTGGGAAATTGCTGAAATCAATTGTCGAATATTTTCATTAATTGTTTCTGCATGCGACTTTTACCTGTGGGGCATGCTGAAGAAAAAAGTGTATGTAAAGTCGAATTGAATTACAACCATCAATAAATATTTTTATGTGGGTTGCGTGACTTTATAATCACTTTGCATTTCTCTTGTGTGTTATCTTGGGAGAAGTTGAATCAGAACGTAGATGTGTGGGATGGCACAGGGCAATGTTTCTCCCTTATGTTTGAGAGCTGATAGATTTACATTTCAGTAGAAATGTTTGAGAGCTGATAGATTTACATTTCAGTAGAAATGTTTGAGAGCTGATAGATTTACATTTCAGTAGAACGCCTGTGTTCTTGATGTGTTTCATGATTTTCCTCAGGATATTACATTAAAATATACCACAACCTCTTCCATACTTCTCTTCATTCATCATTTATAGTTAATGGAACAATGTAAAATAATTGAGTAAAAATCAAGGAGGAGGGGAGTTTGCTTGGTTTACTGTAATAAATTTAATTTTTATTAAGAGTGAGGGAAAGCTTATGGTGGGTCTGCCATTTATTGTGAAGTTACTGAGTTGGACAATTGAGAACAAATTAAGTCTTCAATCTGAGCATCAACGTGTAATGGGAGTTTTAACAGTGTGACAATTTTAGAATGTTTTGTGGTTTTTGTGTTTAAGTAAGTTGGGAAGGGAAGCTAGGAGGCAGACAACCTTTGTTGTCCACCATCACAGTGATGATGTAAGATGTAGCAGTGAAGTTCATATGAGTTCATTTATATCTATGCATTAGTCACTAGCATACCACTAAAGTGTTAACCCTGAATCCTCTCAGTGTGGGACTTAATTTCCCTGTTTCCATATAATAAAGGTATTACCAGTTTCTTGGTATTAAATCAAATAAAACGTTTTTCAATTAGTGTCTGTATTTCAGTATTATCTGTTTCGTGAATGTACGTTTGTTTCTTATGAATGTTTTACTTAACAGGGAACTTTGTGATTTATATGGCTTACCCAGAATTATTACAGTCCAATCAAGGAGGTTAAGATGGACTACGTTTGTAACTTTGATGGAGGTAAACAACAGATGTGTAAACAGCTTTGGTGAGAAACCAACTGAAAGGCTAACATGATAATGTAACGCTAATGTTAGTATGGATCTTAAGAAAGTAGATTCTCAGGATGTACTCTGGCAGTTCCATCACTAAACTTCAAATTTTTATTGCAGTTTACAGAGCTTGTATTTGATAGATATTAGTATTTGTTTAATATTGTGGGAAATCAGCTCATATTTTTTGATTTTGCTGTTTCCTGAACTTAAAATTCCACCAATTCTGTTGGCATGTGTGGAGACTTGGTAATGATAGAACAGTTATTGCTTACGGCAATTTAAAGTGGTTCTTAGATGATTAAATAATAAACATAAAACTGTCTAAGCATCATGAATCTGTTTTAATATGCAAATAAAATATTTCATGTTACAGTTATTCATTGACTCTTATTGATGCTCTTGACACATTGGCTGTGATGGGAAACTACACTGAATTTCAGCGTGTTGTTGACATAATCACAACAAAGGCAAATTTTGGCGCCAACATAAACGTATCTGTGTTTGAAACAAATATACGCATCATTGGTGGCCTGCTGAGTGCGCACTTGCTCTCATACAGGTAAGTCACTTCCTAACACACATCATCCTTTATTTAGACCTGTTAACCTTTCAACGGTGGGTATTTAAGTCTCCTGTCTAGCCAGTTGGCCAGAATATTTCAGCATGTAAATGTTTTAAGTGGTAGAAAATCAAATAAATTTTCATCTCTTCACTGCAGTTTGTAGTCTAGAATTTCCAAATAAAATTTAGGCTGTTAGGGATGAATGAATTTTCCCTAAAATAATTGGCCAGACAGAATATTTTTCATATATTTTTTAATTTGATCCTGTGTTTTCTTTGTGTATTCTTTGAAATTATACAGTTGTTGGTGGAGGAGACAAACATATTTTGCTATCAGTACTTGAACACATTTGAAGACTGCTCTTCACTACCTGACATGACTACAAGAAATGTACTTGCTGTTATCTGTTGTTATTCAGATGGATCATGACAAAAGAAACAGACTGTGAAGCTGCTGGTCCATGCTAGAACAATTCTTTATGACCTTCTGTGGACACACATTGAAACGAGACAGATCTTTCATATGTAAATATTTCTGCATCTAAGTAACAACAGAAATGAAACTGATAATTATACAAAAATTATGACATTCTGTGGAACGTGAGAA